TCTCTATTGATCCTTATTGCAATCCTTTGGAGTAATGGAGAGTTTTCGGGTTAGAAACGGGAGGGCTCTCGTCTTCTTACGTTGATATGGTAGTGAAAGAAAGCGATATTTTCAAGATATAAGCACACAGCATATCTGCCTTGAAGAGATACGGAATTAATATTTTTGTAAAGTATGTTATGAAACAGAAGTAGTAAAACAGGTATGTTGTAATCCTATTTAATATTAACCTAGAAGACAACGCAATATTAGAACCTGTTACTACTTAATGTCACCTTAAGTTAAGTTAATAAAGTAGGTCTACCTTACTTTATTTGCTTCACTTTAGGTAACAATGAGTTGGTTATAACATAGAAATGAGGTGGGGTGAGGTTTAATAATCTTTGTCTTAAACTATACACGAGTATAATAAATTTCAATATTTTAACTCCTAAGTTTGGTGTTATTTCAAGTAACCTATAATCTTTTTCTTTTTTAATATGTGAATTTAGTTCGTCGATAATTGAAGTTAGTACGTAGGTATCTTGTTTATGTGAAAGTTTGTAAAGATATTTGTTAACTCAGTCACGCACGAAAGTTGTTACACAGATGGACTATATCCCAGATTACAACTTGGGGTGCTTTTGTAAGGTGGGAACACCAATTTAAAATTAAGAAGTAAAGAAATGTGCCAGTAATGGGGGATACTCACTTCTCACTAATCCTAATAGGATTCATTTCGGATAATTCAGCAATGAAATTGTGACAGTCTGTTAAAATTGTGACAGTCTGTTAACATTATGTTACGAGCTCGAGGTGACTATTAACTCTTAGCGCCAGGGGAAGAGGGATTGTTAGTAATGTGAATTAGTAGCCCCAATGGTAGTAATATAGGGTATATTCAGTTAGTCAGTACGACCTTCTCGCGATCCCCCTGGAATGCGCAATTCCAAGTGAATTCATTATGATGGCGAACTTACTTGCCTTTTTATCCTCACCTATTATCCCTCACTGGAGCTCCATCAGTATATATCGTTAGCACAGGCGAGGTACCATTCCATTATCATGCATTAAAAACACTTAGCGGCCACAAGGAGTTAGCATACTTACTTAATATTATAAATATAAAAGTAAGTTTGTATATTTGTTTGTTACTTCTTAGCGTCTCAGTGGCTTATCTAATTGTTATATATATATAAAATTAGGAGACGGAGATGGAGATAGGTTACATTTTATTCCGGTTAATGAATATATCTCGGTTACGCGAACAAAGTCGCGGGTAACAGCTAGTTTAATATAAATATTTAATATTCCAAAAATAAAAGCAATTTTAAGATTATAAATTAACAACAACTACAAGAATTATACATGTACTTATTGCAACATCTACCGATAGTTAAGTATGTAAGAATTTTTTTATGGATGTGAGTTTTTTTATGGTTTGCGGTACAGTATTTATGGAATCCCGTCCTCGCTATTGGATACGGGTGACGGAATGCCTATACAAGAGGGTAATTTGTGGACGCAGTTTAGACCCAATATTTGAGGAGCATTAGGAAGGTAAATGAACGGCCGGATACTGCAACAAATGAGTATGTGGGCGGCCCCCGAACTGGCGACCTCTGCTGTCTAACGGTCCCCAATTCGAGAAATGGCAATCCCGCCAGCGTTATTGACATAAGTTGGTGGGGCACCAGTGAGAGATAATAGATGAAGATGAAAGCAGGTCTGCTAACTGACCTGTATCCATCATCGTGATGAATTCCACAAGAGTTAACTAGTATGGTTTAAAAGGGAACCGTGTGGAGGTAGACCTGATAAGGTATATAGCCAGCAATGGGGCTGTTATACTTTATTATTAACAATTCCTTTCCCTCCAGTATGTGAGTTACTTCCATGAGAAAAGTAAAAAGATATATTATAGAACGCCTATGAATTTTTAAGCTTCGCAGATTGATTTTTTCAATTGGGGTGAAAAAGTATCCCAGTGTGTACGCTGTTACGGGATTGAAATGTGGTCGCTAAGGGTTAAACTCGGTTGGGTATTTAAAGCATTTCATTGTAAAGTGGCTATTTGAATGTCCTATTCTGTCTATTTGTATATATATTTAATAATATTGAAAGCCACTGTGCTAATTATAATATAAACTATAATATATTGTATAGTTTATATTAACATTACCACAGTAGTTTTCAATATTATTAATCTTTTTCATTATGAATTCTAAAGTATGAAAGCTTAATACAATAGTGTCCAGGAATTTCAACGCAGGAGTGATATTACAGTGTAGTTTGTAATATCTATGGCATTGTTTATTCAGTTACCACTTTATTTTAGTTAAGCCGTAAGTTTGTTTGCAATTAAAAGTGACATAAAATATTAATAGTGGCAATTTAGAATGGCGAACAAGCTGACGGCCCACCTGGTAGAAAGTGGTAACCATCGCCTATAGACATGAGCAGTATCATGGACTTAACAGAGTACACTGTTTCGCCCATGATACTCCCCTTGCGTTGCCATTCCTGAGGACTCAGATGTTATTCCTCTGTACCCTGTAAATTCACGCCATGTCCCACCCTTTAAACCGAAACACAGCCATGTAAACACAACTGCTTCACGGTTGAAACACGAATGGGACAGAGGAATGTAAGTTGTAGGTTAAAGTTAGAAGCATAGAAAACGGGACGGTTATTAGTATACATACATATATATATATATATATATATATATATAAACTATAAACTAGTTTGTACGTCTCGTCTCGTTTTCTCTAAAGTCAAATATGTATACAATAATTAAAAAAAGTTAAAAAAATAGTTTATGCGTGAAAAGGTATAAGACAGACGGACAGAGGTATTTTCGTATTTATAATATTACCCCGGACCGGAATAAAAATAATCTTATAGTATATCCTATAGTTATATAGTAGCCTTCTTTATCCTATGTAGTACGTATATACCAAAATTCACAGTGATCGGTTAAGCCGTTAATGCGCTAAGAGGTAACAAACAAACTAACTTTCACATTTATAATATTAGTAAGGATTAGTATGAATTGTGACTTATCATTTTCCAACCTATATTCACCACGCACAGGCATATTACCTCACCAAATACATTGCCCTCTCTTGTAAGTCATAATTTCTCTTTTAATGTATTTATAAGGGATAGCTTCCCAGGCCGCAATCTGTTTCTCAAATTGGAATATTTTTTACTTTATCCCGGGCGTTTTAGACATACAAATGTATCTTTTTTGTTGTTCAACCGCATAATAAGCCTTCTGTCCCTCATATTAAGGCGATAAATATATTTCTAAATTATATATTTAGAGGAAAAGGCGGAATATAGGGCTGTATTTTTTCATGACCTACATTTAGGAATTTAGTTATTTGATTTTGATGTAAAATTATTTTAATAAATATATTATTTTCAAATTATTTCATATTTCTAGTAAGAAAAGTTCTAAAATGGATCTATTATTTTTATAAGTATAAATCTAGTCAAAAATTAACGTTTTGTTTACTTTGAATACTTTATGTAATATAAATACAACATATAATTATGTTATCCGTATTAATTAGTGTCTGACCGAAACAGGTTTTACAGCCGAAACCGAAACCGAACTTTCGGCCTTGGTCTCAGTTTCGGTCGAAACCGAAACCGAAACTTTACTGAAACATATTTAAGATTTCTCTTCTATACTGAAATCTAATGTATTTTTTATACAATTATTTACAAAAACACATAGTTAAACGGTTATAATAAACACTGATTAAAGTATGTAACAAATATGTCATATATGGTATATTTATATATAAAATCGTGTTAAAATTATGACTTACTCTTGGAAGTAAACTTAAATAAAAAAAAACAACTTTCAGTTAGACACAAAGTTTCGGCGCGGCCGAGTTTCGGCAAACTTTTGACCGAAGCCGAAACTAAGGCCGAAAGTAGAATTTCTGGCCGAAACTAGCCGAAACTGAAACTGAAAGTTCGGTCGGACACTAGTATTAATGTAAACTCCAGTAGTCGCCGATAATTTGTACTAATAATATTACCTATATTCTAAATTATACCTTAGAAGGACTATATATATATATATTTAGTTTCAAAGAAGAGGAGATTCACAATTCGACGTATTTTGTATGTGTACGTGTAACATAATATTTTCGAAAAATTTTAAACCGATTTTGTTAACTCTTCTTTTGCTTAATTTGAGATGGCGCTGCGTATGTTTAGTAGTTTTTATTTTTGTTTTTAAATGGTAGAGTTTAATTTATATCTGCATTAAATTAATTAAATATCCTGTAGGTCCCGGCATAGATTGGGCCACCCCTTCCTTTCCTGTAGGTGTCATAAGAAGCGACTAAGGCAGCTTATAGTCGAGGAATGGGCAGCAGAATCCCTCCTAAAACATCATCATAAACCAAACTGTGGTTGCCAACCTGCCTGCTAAGCGTGGCTACTTCTGACAAAACCCTTTTTATGGGGGAGGCTATGTACAGCTGATGCAACAAATGGAGTTTATTAAAATTTTAATCACTCTCTCCTTAGTATATTTCTCCGTTTATATATAGAAATTTCTGTAAGTAAAAGTCGTTGAATATAAATTTTAGTGAAGAAAAATTTATTCAAAGTACAAAATTTTAATTTATTTCAATAATAATCAATCCAATGATATATGAATAGGTACATTTGACATACTAGTAGGTATTATAGAATAACAGAACACAGGCGAGACGCTGTTCCAGGCACGTTTCAAACTATTACCGTAAATAGTCACAATTCCGTGCGTTTTTCTAACGTGTACGTGTTCCTCATATTTCAGCGTTGACACACTAATGCCTATCCGTACGGAATCTAGAATAACGTTGCGTCTTATATTTTAGTGTTTTAAGCTTTATATTCTATAAAAAAACCTGATTTATTACTGAAAATGCTATCTACGTATGAAAGAGACAGTTCAAGCAACCCTCTTTCGTCGACCGTAGCCGCGACCTACCCGATTTCAGTGAGGCAGTGCGAAGGGCAAGCTCTTACCGGGAGGTCGCCTCTTCTAGCGTCGATAAATTCCAATAATCCGTTGTTATCGTAACCGTAGTGTTTTGTGTGTGTAGTGATGTTGTATTATATGTGGTTGTGATTACTAAGATAATGTAAGACAATCCAGACTGGAGATTAATAAGTACTTGTAATTATATGAAATAGACTAAGGGTTTTCTCAAAATTAATATAAAGTTTTCTAATTAAAAAGTTAAGTGATAGACACTCGTGTAATATCTAGATAATAATTGTATTGTCTAACAACAGTTTAAGGTGAGTTATGCCTGTTTTAACCTTGCCTTTCCACAGTTCGCGACATCGTAGGGCGGCGATCGTGAAAGAAAAGGATTTGTTACCTATATTATGTAGCTGTTCTATTGAGATTTGATTTAATGTTTTTAATAATAATCCAATAAATCATTCTTATAGTTAATCACTTATATTAATACCTAGCGATCTGTCAGAGCTTAACACAGATAGATAGAAAGATATATTAGTATTTTATATTGGCTTTAATAAGAAATTTTTTTATGCTTTGGTGTACATTATTGTAATTTTTGTATGGAACTCCAATTATTTAGAAATAATATATAGTCTTTGATTTTTGCCGATAATGTAACTTGTATTATGAGTGAAAAAATATTTAAAATCGGTTAAGTAGTTTTTGACTTTATGTATTACAACCAAATAAACATACATACATCCATTTTATAAGTATAGATATTACAGATATTAATAAATAAAAAATATTTTTTGACTAAATAAAATATGTGGGTATAAATACTTATAACCTCTGTAATTGTAAATAATAAATAATGTAGTTAGCTTTCAATAGCGATTGATTTGATTCTGATTCAAATTAATAGGTATTTATTTTTTTATATTTACCAAAATTCCTTATTGTAATTTCAACTATATTAATAAATAATATGATAAACCTCTCTGCAATCACTTATTTGTTTCTCATTAAAATAACAGGTATTTATTTAGTAACCTACGAGTAAATACTACAATATATTATTGCCATCTTGCTTTTAAATAATTAAATTTATGCAATTAATTATTAATTTTGTTTGTGTTGATATTGTTAATCTTTATAATCTCTATCATTTTTTGGAAGGAACAATAAAGAGTTTTAATTCATGTATATATACCCAGTGTAAATGTAAATTAAATTATATAGTTGCCTCTTTACAATAGTAACTAAATTGTGGTGATTACGTTATTATTGTTAGTGGGGAATATATGTTAAATAATTACATTGCAAAATCCTATTTAATGTCGGTAATGAAATTTGCCTGCGTTACCCACACATCTCTATCTACTTTTACTACCAAAGCAGTTATGCTTGCATAGCCGTATTCCGGTTTGAAGGGTGAGATAATATTGGAAGGAAATTAAGTAAAACTCCGTGGTGTTACAGGCGCCCTTATTTACAAGAGAAATCATCTTTATAAACATGATTACGAACATCATCTTTTTATGATTGATTCACAGGGTTCGGAATGCTATTGCTCTTTTAAAACCTATTAAGTGCAATATATTTTAATTCAATTTTATTTAGTGCTCTGGTTGGGCGCACCATTGCTTGGCAAAAATTTTTTTAAAAAAGGAATGAGGGAAACATGTAAAGACTTGATTTTTTTTAATATAAAAGAAATACAATGCAATATTAAACATATCGCTTAATAACGGGTAAATCTATTTTTAACTATCGAATCTTTTTTTTTTAATTTTCATAACAGTCAAGTAAAGGTTTTTAAGGAAAACCTGTGGGGCCAGTATTAAATATTATGTAACAAAATATAACGTTTCACGCATGAAAAAGTTTCCTACACAAATTAAACTCCCGGAAAATTTCAGAACAAATGTTTTGTAATTAGTAGCCACCAGGTGTATATTAATAAGACATTAACCATTTTTTCGTAATAAATATTAAATACTGTTTATTGGTGGCTATATATATATACTAAATATGTATATTTTATATACATAGAATCAAACTGAAATTACAAGATATCATCTGTAGAACATATTTAAAAAAATGTATATGTGGGATTTAAGTAATCTAAATTTTTGGATATCTGTTTATTTATTCTGGTATTACGCACAACTTACTGTACTAAATTAAAATCGAACATAAAATCGGGTATTAAAATATTCGTCTAGATATACTATATAGAAACGGTCTATTTATATCGGTATTTTTACTCGTATTTTTTAAATCCTCGCATACAAATTTGCGTGCAAAAGCTAGTCCTTATTAATATCATAAATGTGAAAGTGAGCTCGTTTTGTTATTTTTTTTACGCCATAGGCTATTTTTAACCTTAGTCAATCAACATTATGGCAATATGAATAAATATAATAATAAGTTGTAAATATGGCAAATAGATTGCAGGAGGCATAATACCTTAGTCATTAGGAATGACAACATATGAAGGGTATCATGGGCGACACAGTATACTCTGTTATGTTCATGGTAGGCGACGTTTACAATTTTCCATCAGGTGGGCAGTCAGCTTCTTTGCTATTCTAAGTTGCATACAAAAATGGTGTCACACTGCCGAAGTCGCTGGTAAAATCTAGTATTTTTTTAATTACTCTAATTACAAACAATAATTTATGTGGCTATTACGTAAATATTGTGTACTAGTAACCCTTAACACGTCCGTGTCTACTCTATTTTGCTTGTTTAAAATGTCGCATCAAATATCTTTCCTCATTTAGTCTGTGTCACTGTTGGCTCACTGTAATAGTCGTGGTAATTCCTAAATATTTTAGTACTCACTGTGAACACAGCAATTTGTAATGGACTGTCAAAAACTTTTAAATAATTTAAATATGACCTAGCGTGTGATCATAAGAAATTATGATTTATTATTAGAAATTTTGCCAAAATATCTACTAAGAGATGCTGAAATTTCTTCGTCATGGTAATTTGAATTTTAAATGTTACATTTGGATGACAAGAAATTAAAAAAAAATATTATATTATTTAAGATTTTGTCACCTAAAATGATATCGCTCTGTCTAACGTTCCAACGAAATTAAAATGGAGTATTCTGTCAAATAAAAGAATTATCAAAATCAAAAAGATATTATACACAAAACCAGGTTCTGTGCTTGAAAGATATTGTGTTATTATATATTTTCAATATATATTTTTTAAATACTAACATATAACTTAATATTAAGGATATAACTACAGAAGCAACATCATAATAAAGCTAATTAAGAGAAAGAATCAAGCAACGTATTAAATGTATCATGGGGAGTGTTCTAAGGAATTATTTGGATTGATAACTGTCTTTCCATCTTCACGTCGTGTTTCACTTAGTGAACATAAATAGCAGCGTCTCTCTAAAACACACCGAAGACTAATTGTGTTGCGAACCCGCCTGCCAAATGGGGCAACTATTGGCCAATCCCCAATAGGGATCAATATGGTGATGACAGCTACTGCTAGATTTCATCACCATACAACCCGTCATAAATTATAGTTCCATTCCAACCATATGGATGAGTAGCGGTTTTCTACCGTGCGTTTTTTTACAGACAAGACAATTTTTCACTCATAATTCCTTTGCAATCAAACAGACCGGCACGACATCGTAAGCTTCAAGAAAAGAGCATATTTCTTTTTAAAAGTTCAAGAGTACACCTAGTACTTACTATTAGAGTTATTTATTATTATAGAAGACCAATTATTAGAAGAGTCGCGTGCTCGATTAGTCTTTTGTTTAAAATAAAATTTGGCTTATATATATATATATATATATATATATATATATATATATATATATATATATATATATATATATATATATATATATATATATATATATATATATATATATATATATATATAGATATCAGAAGTATGTTCTTACGAAATTTAGAATGGAAAATAAGCTGACGCCTATGAAGATGAAAAACCATTTGATGAATGTTGTTGTTGCTAATTTTCATAATAGATTATAATGTTTGACATAATTTAAATAAGTATATATTAATCTACAGAATTTGTTCTTAGTTATAAAACTTATACATCAAAATCGTGCATTTCTATATCAATAAATAGGAATTGTAGACGTTCCTAGTTTAATTTTACTAAATAAACATTATATATACATAGCAAAATTAAACTCTACGAAGTATATGAGCGTCTAAGTTTATATTGAGATATCAGTTTGGTGTTTCTGTAAACTGTTAAGTTTGGTATTTGGGAATCGCTAAATAAGCAATTAGGTTACCCTAATGAGAGCGAAGGTTGAAGGTATAAAGTTTACATGGAATCTACGCATCATGTATGATGTAGACAATAAATAATTTGACAATATATCAGGGTTGCCTGTTAGGGTATTCTCTTCGCAATTTTGGGTAAAAATTTGTATTGTAGAAATTTTGGGAATGAGTAATATTATTGTGCAGAATTGCGGGTAACCTTTTTGAAAGTTTTGTACCCGAATCATCTAATGTATCCTTCTAAAGTCAACGTACGTTAAAAGATAGGTAATACTCAGCAAAAACGGACATAGTTTGTGAATGTATTAAAATGATGAAAATCATAATAATTTAAAGAAAATGTATTGGAAAGTCGATTAGAAATATAAAATCTCAAAGATATTCTTATCTTTTTAATCCACTTTCAAAACAATAAGGTGCTCAAATCGATAAATGAATTGATTACGTCTTCCATTCTGAATCTATTTTCACGATTCTTTTTGTAATCAATATGGTGTACTCCTGTGTTGTTTTTATTTTGATTTGTGACAATTGAAGCCGCCGTTTTTCTTGACGAAGCAAAAATCTAACTGTAAACACGAGTCTCCATGTTAGAACGTTTTTAATTTCAATATTTATAAGAAGAACCTGGATTCAGTACTACTACCTACTTGAAGTCTGTTTCAATAGAAGTTGATGAAAATATGATGAAGTTTTATTGAAATTATCACAAAAATATACTCCAAATGAAATAAGTAATAAATTGGAATATTAAGTGTGAATGATCGAAACATTCAATTGTTTTTTTATTTGTACTACTATTGGGCATCAATAGATTGTCCTATGGTTGGGTAAATTATTAATTTGTTTACATTTTTATTATTAATAAATTGAAATAGTGGTTATTTAGTAAATAATTAAGTAATTAGTAATTAATTATGGTATAAAAATAATAGACTATAGGGTGTCTACAAAGCATCTTTTTATCAATATGTGTTCAAAATAGAGGTCGCTATTTTGTGGACAAAAAAGTATTAGTTGATAAG